GAAATATAATACAGCTTTTATGGTATCAGAACCCATTTATGATTTTCTAATAATTCACCTTTTGTAGTAAATCTGTTGTAAATTAGAATAGTATTAGATTTCGTAGGTGTCTCATTATTTCCCATCAAGAAAGTATTTTCAAACTTAAATGTAAAATAAAAATAATATGTTATAAATAAAAAAGAAAGAGTTCTCCTAAATACATTCCATGCCGTTTTTGTAATGAAACTGTTAAAGTAATGTAGGATCGAAATCAATGAAAATGTATTTTGCTAACACTTTTATCACACATTGTATTGAATTTTATCTGAACCTGAATATTTCTAAAATACAGTAAATTCTTTTGGCTAACTGCAATAAACATGCGAAAAAATTCCTGTGGGTTTCTACATATGCCAAGTAAAATTGTCTCAGGATTTTTTTAGCATTAACACAAATCCTTGCAAATATATGATAGAATATCTAGTCCTGATGCTCGTTCCAATCGTACAAAGGGGCAAAAAGAAAACCGTAAAATAAAATTAGAATAGCACAATAAAGATTAATGCAAGATTAAATGGTCTAAGAATATTACTCTTCGATGTACGATTCATTTTACGGCGGATCCATCTTTTATGCACAAATTTTCTTAATGAAACCTCTGTTTGGTCATGGATGCATGAACACTTGTGACAGGTCTGTCGTAGGTGCATGCATTACTTTACCATGTATTGCATTTATGTCTCAACAGTACAATTATTTGCTACAAAAAACTGCCATAAGACTTCTAGAATTGAATGATTGGTTTGATAAACTAGTTCAATCTAGACTTCTCAATTTTATCTGTGGTACCGACGGTTGATCAAAACCGACAAGTTTTCTTCGCGATGCGTGGTGTAAATTCTCTCCCAAATTATACAAAACTACTCCTCTCCCGAATTACTCCAGGTTTCTTCATAGAACAGAATATTAAAATGGAAAGTAAAATAAGAATAAGGGCAATGGTATCGCAAGGCGTCAAAAGCTCCATGAAAGTGAATTAAAATTATCAAAATGGGATATTAACCACAAGCGTCTCAAACAATTTTTATCTGACTGCGAGAGCACAAAGAAGCTCTTGTAATGTTTGGCCGTTTATCTTGAATATTTGTTTGTTTGCTTATATCTATCACAAAAAAAACACTTGAAAGTTGAGAATAGGGTCATGAAAGAATAACAATATTGCACCGAGAGTGCATTACGTTTGGTGATATTGCTTTTAATTTCGAAAATATTTTTTAAAGAGAGGAAATTAAAATTGTGTTGCGAGTTGCATAATTCTTAGCTATGCGTTTACCATATTCTTGACGTATACCCGGTAATATGGGACACAAAAAATATGTATTTCATTTTCAATTTCGGTATAATATCAATGAGTAGAATTCTGGATATCTGAAATTTTATAATGACCAATATAACAAGACAGGCGACTGACGGATGTCTTCGTTTTACGTCAGTAATGGAAGAATTAAAATGTACGAATTGTGATCAAGCTAATAATAGGATTTGCACGAACGCGCAAATAAAAACTCAACTCATCATACACAGATATATTCTTTAGAGAAGCCAAGTTTTTTATCGAATGACAGTGTTGTTCAAATATCTACATGTTCTCGACAAACATCGCAGTGTGACTTCCATATCAATATTCACTCAATTATGCGTACAGATTCAATCTTCCTTTCATCACATCTTTTATGGGTCTCCTGCTTGAGTGTATTCGCTTGAAAGTATTCCTGGTACGTTTTCTAAATGTATTACTTTCAGAAGGAAACGCTTTGTTTTTATTTACTAATGTGCTAGTTGAGTAGATTCGTAGCCAAGTTCCTTCGAAAGTCAATTTCACTCATGAAATGTACTTGCACTTAACATATGGTTAATATATACATGAAGATATATGTAGGCTAGACACTATTTTAGATAAAAATATTGCTGATTTTTTTCCTATTTGGGAGATGAAAACATAATGAAATCCAAAGATCAGTATTACATAATTAAGCTGTACTATTTATAGAATTATAGCGTTATTCATTCTAAATGTATCTAATAAATCTGAATTATTTCTTAGAAGTGGTCGGTTTTATCGCTTTTGATTTCGAAAATAATTTTAATTTTAGGGAAGCTTATGAACATGGGGGTTGTATACTTTTTGGAATAAATATTTTAGGTTAATATTTATAAACATCAGAAAAATATATCGTTTTCGTCCCATCCAAACATTACAACAACGTTTAACTAATTTAAGTGGATAATTGAAGAACTTATTCGTTATTTTGCGTTGTATGTGCACTTTAAAATCTTCTCGACAATAGGTTACTAAGCGCAAACTTTAAAAATTAATCTTGATAGTCGTTTTTTACCACTGATACTGAACAATTGGAGGCGTGTCTTCCGAACAACCATGTCTGAGTGAAGAGTTATCAAAATATTAGGCCCATTAATGTATACTTATGTTACCTCATTCAAGTGAGAGAGGAATATTACACCCTTAAAGATGTCCAACATAGAGCCGAAACTTTGGCAGGTTCGTATTTTGACAAACCCAAAAATACATCCGTTCGTTAAATAAAACCAAAGATAAACTTCATAAGGTTTACTGAATGATTCATCGTGTTATTATTCATTTCTGGATTATGCGTGAAATTCAATGAACATGAGTCTCGGACGCAATTAAATTAAGAAGGTTACAAATATTTATTGTAGAAGTTCCCTGCGTAATGCGGAATGTCTAGTCTGGTTCTCTAAAGCGCTGCACGTATATCACACTACATGAGTACATTCTACTTTCCAATATTGGAGAATAAATATTTGTAATTATGTGTATTATGAAATAATCATATTTTTGATGTCTATTTTTATAAAATTGTAAGTGAAGAAAATTGACCTTTACATAACGTCACAAGAGTTTAGCAGAAGTAACCTGGGCCGGCCCGGGTGTTCATTTCTGTGAGACAGGAAAAGAAATCACTCCTGTCAGTAGCGTAAGGCGGAGGTAATTTTTTTACTCATTCCCTCCACGTCTCTATCTTCCCCGCTGAACCCCGCAGTGCCTCGCTCCGCTCCGGCCTCCCTTCTCCACCCCACCCACCCTGCTCCGTCCCCTTCTCGTCCCCGTCCCGCCTTCCCTTGCTGCGGTCATCTGGACCCGACCGTACCCCGCCCGCCCATACTCCTGGATTCCCTTACGCCTAGTTGCATTGCGAATGATAACACACAATAAACCCTTTTCAAATATTACGCAAGCGCACGTGACAAGCTTATGCGGCAGGGAGCTAAATGTGCTCATCGTCTACTTGACGAATGAAGAACCCTAGCGCCGTTATCCGCAAGATTTGAAGTTTCCTGTTAGAAAATAATCGCAAGCATATCTCTGGATTTTCTGGTACAATCGTATACACTATTCTATTAATGCATATTAAAGCATTTAAAGTATTAAGCTCACCGGAAATGTCTATTACGGACTTATTTATGAATGGAAGACTCATCGCGACTAGGTATTTGTTAAGTTTGCGTGGGGATACGCATTGTTTAAAAGACCGTTCACACAGATTAAATTGATAGTGATTATTCTTGACGTCATCGATAAAAATTCCATTTTTTGCGTTTCTAATGTTATTGTGATTTTTATTCATGCAATATGTGATGATTTTGATACATGTGTCTGATAACTTCAAAAACCAATTAAGTCCAATAAACCATTTCGTATAGATAGTGATTTAAATATTTTTAATGTATGATAATCAGATTTTACTGTCATAGAAGAATTATTTTGTTAAATGTAAGAAGAAGTTAGCAGTAGTTACACATTCATTAGCGTAGGATTCATTGTGATATTCTAGATCATGAAAACCGAATCAATGGATGTGCTTCACTCATTTTGACGATAAAATTTAACTTTACTATTTGTGCACGTCTTCTAGAGTTCAGTGGGAAATATAGTTATACAAATTATCGTTCTCCATGTTGTCGCGGTAGAAAGTAAATTCCTTCAAAAAGGCCATGATGAGGGATGAGAGACCAAATCCATTGGTGATTTGCCCTTGAAAATATATTTTATTACATCGGAGCGAATATTCTGTTTACAATTCTCGCCAAAAACGCTTATTTCTTTCTGTATTAAGAATTTAACTTGTATACGGCTTAGGGTAGGGCTCCTATGTGCACATAATGCACTTCTCCTCACCAACGTCACTGCTTTAGATTTAGAGTTAAATTTATTTAGTCAACAAACAGTAAAAACTGTATGTGACATATAGGGGAGAAGATAATCTGCGCAAGTTTTCTTGAGTTCCAGAGTCCCTTCCCATCATTCTAACTATAAATCGTTGAAAAAAGAATAAAAGTTAAAACAAATTAAAAATAATAATGATATTTTTTTAAAAAAAGCGCGAAAGTAGCGTCATTTGAAAAAAACTGGACATTTTTGTTTCCAAATTAAAGAAAACTTATTTGCAACGGTAATTGAACAGCAGATTTTATTTTCTGCAATGCTAACAAAATAGTAATTCGCCCTTACCTCTACTCCTACCACTACAAGCAAAAGAAGAGTTCAATAAAAAGTGCGCAAAAACTGCAAACTGATCTGACTGTTTTAGGAAGGAAGGATGAAAATATGGACTTAACGTGTTTTAGAAGTACAGTGCACCTGGAAAGTCTCTCCGCACTGGGCCAAGTATAAAAAATTTCCTGCTATTAAAATTACATTTATGTTGGCAGCAACCAAATAACTGGGAAACAAGAGCCGGGGACAACATTTCCAGCATCTATTATGATTATGGTGCGTGCTGTATTCACGTTTTCGTTTGATAGAAGCCGCCGCCAGTGCTACCAACATAATTTCTGTGTTGCTAGCGCTCTCACTAGCAAAGTGGCCCTGCGGAGGGACTTCCCTGGCGCGCTGCGTTACGGCATTGTTCAGACATCGTGTGGCGCGGGGCGGCTGGGCCCCCGGAGGGCGCAAAGGGGCTTGCGCGGGACTCACCGCCGCGGTCGGCGTCCGGGGAGCCGTTCTCCGGGTCGTTGCCACCCGCCTCCTCCCGCTTGACGGCGTGCGCCTGGCCGCCGTCCTCCAGCTGGCAGCAGTCCATGATGAGGTTCTCGAACTCGCGCCCGCTGCGAACACACGCCGCGCTCACCACGGGCCCTCCGTGCGGCTCCGTGCACGCGGAGGGAGCAGGTCGCAGGAACTACACATATCACCTGTTCTGGGCCATTTCAAAGGCTTTCACGGCCAGTGGCGGATGCGGGAGGGGGCTAAAAGGCCTCACGTTTTCGTTTGTTACCTGATTTTAGTTGAAAAAAATGATTTAAATATTTATTTATGTTAGAATTTTGTAATTAATAAAAAATAATATTGTCTACTATCAGATATACACTATAAAAATAATATACAATATAACAAATTTGTTTATTATTTAACAAAAATTTTCGATGCCTCCCCTCCAAATGGTTGGGTGGATCCGTCCTCGTGCACTCCATTATGTTACATTACATAAAGTTTCCTCTATTTCGCCTAAAATGATCTTTCTGAGAGAATAATTTCTGCTTCTATTTTGAAAACAGCATTAAAAGCCAAAACAACTAATTTTAACGTGCTTCAAATATCAAAGTTCTTCCCTTTAAATTTGTCATATCTCAAGTGTCTGTTTATTTTGCTAATTCTGGAGCATATTTTTCAGATTTATTTTAATATTTTTTGGTGACGTGCAAACTCTCTAAACGTTATTCAATCACAAAAATAGTTTTCAGTAATAAAATTTGACAGTGTTTCAAATTCATATGTATATATATATATATATATATATATATATATATATATATATATATATATATATATATATATATATATGAAGTTAAGAATAAACTTGTCAAATTGAACATAGTTCATTTTAGAAATATATCATGTGGATTTTCAATTTAATTTTACATTTTTACCCTTCGTTTGGAAATTTTAAATTTCAAGGATTGAGAACAAAATTTTTAATTTCATGTAAGAAACTCCACCACTTCTGATTTCAGTGCGTTAGTGTTTAGTACATTATGTAATACCGTTAATGAAATAGGCACTATTTTCATTATTGTAAACAAAAATTTGAAATTATGCCGTTACTGAGCGAAATCAGCTCAAAGCTATATGTTAAATTTTCAAGTGCCAAAAATTTCACGGTAGCATTACAATTATAATATAGTATTTATTAAACGTTTGAAATAAATAAAACCTCTTTCAGTTGACCGAGAATTCTACATTGGACTCTAACCTCAAGGGCTTCTTATGAGGACATAGTTCGTTTGTGATTATGTGTAGGAATTTTGACATGCGACGCGTTCAATTTAAACAGGTCAATCTACTCAAATTATTTTAAATATCCAAGAAGTATAACACAAGAAATACAATTGACATTAATATGATGTGCTTTAATTTGTACGTTTTAACATATATTTAAATATATTCGCACGTGAAATTCCGCACCAATATTGCCATCTTGTATTCTATTAAGCGATTGTCTCATATGTAATTTTATGATTTCTATACATGACTTTGAATACCTGATGATGTAGTTGACGCAAATGATGTTCTGCTCTTCGGCGTTCTTGGAATTGCACACCACGGTAGCGCACGTCTGCATCCACGTGTAGCCCCCGTTCTTGTTCATTATGCGGTAGTACTGCGTCATTACTTGCCCTTTGTTGATTACTGCAACAGAGTACCAATACATTTAATTTCAAATTGAAGATCACACGAGTACTTTGTATTTGATGCATCATTTACGCAACAATAACGATTACATACATTACATTGTTCAAAAGGCAAAAGTAGAAACATTAGTAAATATATAGAAGTATTGTATGTAGAAGTGTAAGAATTAGTATATATATTCACTTTGTCATGTATATGATAATCTATTTTTCCTTTGATTGTTATGTTCATCAAAGAGTACGTATAAAAAGCTAAACATGACACATATTGCACGAATGGAATAAAAACAACCTTGTTTAATGAAGTAACTACTTTTATCTTGCGAGCAATTTACGTATTAGAGTGCAGGAAAATGGCAGCAAAAATAAATGTTTTATTATTTTAACTTATTTTTTAATGTTTAGTTTTTAGATCGTTATAATCAAAGTGTAAATATTTAAATGACTTGAACCAATCTTCTACATAAAATATTTAATTGGAAATATTGAACAATGGAAATTTCCTGGTTTAGGAAAGCATTTCGACTTGTCGGGCTGTCAGGAAAAATAGTTGTTGAAGACCTATGAGAGAGAGAGAGAGAGGGGGGGGGGCGAGAGGAAGAGAGAGGGAGGGAATGGGGAAGAGAGAGGGAGAGGGGAGAGAGATAAGGGAGAGAGAGGGAGAGAGGAGAGAGATAAGGGAGAGAGAAAGAAGAGAGAGGGAGAGAGGAGAAAGAGATAAATAAGACGTGGTCTCATTTTCTTGTAGTAAAAATACCTAAGATAATAGTGTTGGTGATTGACATGTAGGATCTGTAAGGGGTTGTGACAGAAAAATACGAGTATGTGACAGAAAAATACTAGTTGTTTCAGATGTCCCCTTATTATGTATGTACAGTACGTTATTAAAGTTCTATGCTTCATGGGATCCTATACTTTAGACAATACGTACTTTTGATTTATGTTTCAAAATCGAATGCAAAGATTCCTACCTGGGGGAAGGATGTCAGACAAGATAACATTTTATAAAGTAATGAAATAGTGCAGGATATTAAACATTTATTCTAATACATATTATACCATATGAACTTCAACTTCTACAAATGGAATGTTGCAACTGAAATGAATTGTCTTGTTATGGAAATAAATTGCAGGAAACGGATAAACTTATTATTCTGAGATATTCTTAGTTATAATAGACGTGTGTGCAACAAATCTTGCTAAGGAAACCAACAGTTTTTAAGGCGTTATATATTTGATTACTTTACAGGGAATATCGGAATAATTGAGTCAGAGGATTATAATGTAAAAGTGGTGGACTTGCTAGTTCCCTTGGAATGCTCAATTATTTTACCCAAAAGTGTTTCACATCGTTAAAAAATAAAAACAAACAAGTGTTTGATATGAAAAGTCAAAGGTCAACAAAACGTAATTTGTTTAACTGAACAAACTGGGAAAAAAATTTCCTTCCTCTAAACATTATCATCAGTCAGGGAATTTTATGATCTTATCATTCGATTTGCGCCAGTTTTCAATCATGTGACACGTTACTTTCATGGAAATGAGTCTCAATTACATTTTTCATTCCCAATTACTTATGGTGGATATTTGTGATAACATTTTATAGAGGGAACGACCTCTAGAGCCATCTTCATGACCAAATCTACGACTGTAAATTATACAAGTGTATGGTGAGATGTAAAATGATGATTACGTAAAACGAGTATAGAGCTACAAACACCCGGTGAGAACCCAAGCACTCAATTCACACTTAAAGTGGAACTCAAACCCACATTGCTTGGAAATGTTATTATGCCCCCTCCTTTGCGACGCGCGTCGACAGCGAACCTCCTTCGTAACTGAAGAATACCTTCCGGGTGCCACCGCCGTGCGATTACCTGGCAAGACCTCTTTCGCAGTGAGGCGTCTCGCACAGAGGCGGCCTGCCGACGCGAGGGGCGGAGGATAACGTGACGACGCCCTCAGCGTCGCGATCCGCGGCAACGGAGCAGTGCCGCCGGCGAACGGCGCGCGCTCCGCAGTCGCGGGCTTTACGAGGGCGCGCCGCCGCGCAGCCGCAGTTCCTCGAAAGCGTTTGGCAGGAGCGGCGCGGAGAAGATGGGTTGTAGGGCGGCGGCGGGAAGTAGGGTGGGACGGGCGGGGCAATGCGACGGTGTGGCGGAGGGGTGCAGCTGAGTGGGTAGTGGCGGGGATGGTGTGGGATATTGGGGTCGATGCGAATGGTGCGGGGCGGGGAAATGATTGGAAAGGGCGGGGCGAGGGAATGGGGTGGGATGGGTGGGGTACAATGCGACGGCAACTGGCGGACGCGGGGGTGTGGAGGTGAGTTAGGGCGTGAATGGGTCTTGGTGCGGTGGTGGGATGACGCGGGCGGGGAAATGGTGTTGGAGCAGTCGGGGCGAGGGATGTGATCGGGTCGATGCTGCGCCTCCTGAGGCGAGTGGGTGGTGGTGGGGCGGGGGGCTATAGTGGCGTGAGGGCGATGCGACGGTACGGCGGGGCTAGGGTGGGAGAGGCGGGATGGGTGATGGGGTGGGCGGGGCGTGGGCGATGCGAAAACAAGGACGTGGGCAGGCGCAGTGGCGAGAGGCGGCGGTGGAGGTGGGGTGGGTTGGGGGAACAGTGTAAGCGCCGCGCCGCGAGGGGCCGCTCCCCATTTCGACGCCGTCGCGCGGTGGTGGCGGGCGGGCGGGACGGGGCGGCGGACTGCGGAGACCTTGAGATGTACAGCGCATCGGCCCGCGGGTCTCGCCTTGCATACGCAAGCAGCTCCCCGCTTCCCCGCCCCGCGCACTCCGCCGTCGCCCGGCCAATTTCAATACTGCTCGGTTTCCGGCGCACAAAAAGGAAGCAGCGCGCCGGGCGCAACCCGCGCACGAAACTTGCTTCCAAACCACCGACGCCTGCGTGTGTGCGGGCGCGGGCGCGGGCGCGGGCGCGGGCGCGGGCGCGGGCGTGGGCGCGCGCGCGGTCGGCGAAAAATAGCGAGGGGAATTGGTGGAAATTGCTGTTAAAAATGCGGTGGTGCCGAAGAGGGCCCCCCACAACGCGATGTCTCTGTCAGAGTCGTGGGGCCTTTGAGTCATGCGGAAAAATGGAGAAGTGTTTATTGCAATTGGAAGATATTCCTAGAATGATTACGTGATATTTTGTCGCTAGTTTAACAACTCTTCTATCAATTTTGAAACCTTCTTCTATTTCAATTAATATCTCGATACGACAAAGACGATGGGGTTCGTTTTGGATCTTTAAAGCATATTTTTGACAAGTAAACTTGTAAATAAGTAAAGGAGGAACTAAATTAGGAACTCTTAGAGTTGGAATTTGCTATAATTACACCGGTCTCGATACACGTTCATGCGCTCAGTTTCTAGGAACGGTGAGCATTACATATATTTATTACCATGCCCGAAGATCCTTTTACCCTATACTTCTTTTTCTTCGAGTACTCAAAACAACGTATATTGATTTTAAAATAAAATTTAACTTGTGTTAGGAATTGATGTTTTTGGGGATTCCCATGAATCTCTCCGAAATTGCAGAAGGCGGAGTCGTTAGAAATCTAATATTTAATCCCAAACATTCTGGAGTTAAGTTCCAGTGATTTCTCTTCAATGAATATAAGGAAATCAGTTAATGGAGAATCAACCCGACCTTAATCACTAAAAAAGTATGAAAGAAAAAATATTGAGTATCATCTGTCGTCTAACTAATCACTGAATGAGATGAAGACAATTGTAGGGAAAACTTGGCTTTCAGGTATATATCGTTTGATTTGTTCTTGTCTATTACTGTCCCTTTTCTTTCATTAACCACCTGGAGATCCTGGCACACGACATGCATTTTTGTTCTTACTTTCTTTCGTCGACCTATCCATTCCAAAATTTTCTTTGGGATCCACTGCTATGCATTCTTTACTTACGGCCTATCCATTTTATTCGCTGGTCCTTAATTAACTGTATTATATCGTCACCGTTTTTATAGATTTTCAATTTATTGGTTTCTCTAGGATGGCTCCTGGGCATCGTACCAGCTTACAGGGGTGTAGTCCCGGATTTTATTCCCGGTCGAGACAAAAGCAGAGTGGTAACTTTTCTTTAAACTGTGTGACGAAGATAAGTTCCGGCAAGTGGAGGTTGCCAGTTACGGTGAAGAGCGCACATCATGTTTAACACATCCCGCTTTTATCCCTAAACGTTAGAATTAAACTAGACCCAGGCAAGGGGACTCCATTAGCTGGCCGACCAAGTCGGACTATCGATTCAAAAATTGTCAAATACATACAATTTCTCGCTAGAATTCTTATAGGGAAAACAACTTTGGGCAACTATTTAAATGTCAGTTACTACTCACTATCGAGGTCTGCGTAACCCAGAAAGACGTGGGCGAGTGCTTGGAAGGCAGAAGTTTCGTAAATGACACATTTCGCTCTTAGCCCCAAACGTGGCTAAAACTAGGCCCAGGCAAGGGAACTCCATTAGCTGGCCGACCAAGTCGGACTATCGATTCAAAAAATGCCAAATACATACAATTTCTCGCTTGGTTTCTTATAGCTAAAACTACTTCGGGCAACTATTTAAATGTCGGTTACTACTCACTATCGAGGACTGCGTAACTCAGAAAGACGTGGGCGAGTGCTCAGAAGGCAGAAGTTTCGTAAGTGACACATTTTGCTCTTAGCCCCAAACGTGGCTAAAACTAGGCCCAGGCAAGGGAACTCCATTAGCCATTTACTATCGATTCAAAAATGCCAAATCCATACAACTTCTCGCTTGGATTCTTATAGGGGGAAACAACTTTGAGCAACTATTAACATGTCGGTTACTACTCACTATCGAGGTCTGCGTGACCCAGAAAGACGTGGGCGAGTGCTCCGAAGGCAGAAGGAGCGGGCGGGCGGGCGTGCGTGGAATGGCGGCGCGGGGCTCGAACCTGACCGGGGTGCGGAGCGCGGCGCGGCGCGGCGCGGCCCGGCCTGCGGCGTGTGACGACGCCCCG